AACTAAAGGAGAAGGGATCTCCAGCCCTTGGTAGGGGAAGAAATGCCCAGAGTAGAAGGCCCAGGCCATACCTGTAGGATGGGGATAGGATATCCCTCCCTGCCAGGGCTGGCAGGAACACAGCCAGAGGAAGTTTCTAGGAGAAGAGCCCTAGGTGACCAAGGCTTCCAAAGAATGTGACAGTCACTATTCTAACTCAGGCTACTGTGGTCAGAGCTACCCTGGGGCCCACGCAACAGGAGGGCGGGGAACGCAGGAGTGGCAATCCAGGACATTGTCAGCTTGGCGAAGCAGTGTCTAGGTGAGGGTCAGGCACACCACGCCCTGTATGGCTCGCTTCTCGGCCCTGTCATTTCTGTTGTCACATAGTGGCCATCAGTGGAGGGAAAGGTTAGGGGGGCTCTAGGGTGGAGATGGAGGGTGTGGCCAAAACAGGAAACCTGGCACATGGTGTGGGAGGGTGGCTTTTGGCAGCCAGCAGGTCACCTGACTACTAGTCTCCTGCCTAGGGCACACGTATGATCGGTCCATCATGGTGGATGGAGAAGAGGCATCACTCATGGTCTATGACATTTGGGAGCAGGTAGGCTGCAGGCTGAGACCCAGGCCAGGGTGGGAGGGGTGACCTGGGGATAGGGGCCTGCTTAGAGGGGCAGCCTTGTAGCCTGGGCATGAGAACTGTTGGTAGATATGCATATGTATGTGTTCCCCAGGATAGCAGCCGCTGGCTACCTGGTCACTGCATGGCTATGGGGGATGCGTACGTCATCGTGTACTCAGTGACGGATAAGGGAAGCTTCGAGAAAGCCTCAGAGCTGCGGGTCCAGCTGCGGCGGGCACGGCAGATGGACGACGTGCCCATTATCCTAGTGGGCAACAAGAGCGACCTGGTGCGCTCTCGAGAGGTCTCTTTGGATGGTGAGCAGGGAGTGGGTCGGAAAGGGAGGGACATCCTGGCTGGGCTGTGGTCCATTCAATCTTGGCTCAGCTCAAGTCCCTGGGGATCATAAGTGGCTAAAAATGTTCAGGAAGAAAACTTGAGGGGGAGAGGGGGGAAAGCTGCTGCCCTCCCACGGGACTCACAGCAGGCTGAGAGGCCTGGGAGGAAGGACCAGATGTGCTGGGGAGGGAGAAGCTGCTGGGCCCTGAGCTGGGCCACCTCAGGACCCTCCTCTCCTGTACCCTTTGGCCCTGGCCTGACAGATGAGGAGTGAGGAGAGTGCAGGGAACTGGGCTAGGAGGTGAGAGTGTGGATTCAGGGCCGGGGCCGGTCTCGGCGTGGGCTTGACCCTGGGGAGGATCTGCTCCTCTTCGGCTCAACATTCTCCTCTGTGGCCCCCAGAACGGAGTCCCTCAGAGGAACCTAGCAGTGACTCGATAACATCCTCCTCCCAATTTTACTAGGTATTCATTATAATATAACATCAAACCATGAAATACTGAGGTGCCTAACAAAGCCCTCCTTCTCTCGTGTTGACTGCTTCAGCATTTCCATTTAAATATCAGGCTTCAAATTATTTCAATAAATGAGTTTTCTCTTGTGAGCTTTTGTGAGCTCCTTAAAGGTGGGCACATTCTGCCAGTTGCGTGGCCCAGCAATGCCTTGGATCCTCTGTACAGGAGCTGGGGTCGGTGTTTCTGGGGACCCCCCAGGGCTCCTCCCCTGGTCCCCAGATTCCTGAGTGGTAGCTGCTATGGGGTGGCTAGAGTCTGAGTGGGCTTCTCACCCCCTCACCCTTTATTTCACTGCCATTTGCCTGTCCCCACCAGAGGGCCGGGCCTGTGCCGTGGTCTTCGACTGCAAGTTTATTGAGACATCCGCGGCGTTGCACCACAATGTCCAGGCCTTGTTCGAGGGTGTTGTGCGCCAGATACGCCTGCGCAGGGACAGCAAAGAGGCCAATGCACGTCGACAAGCGGGTACCCGGCGGCGAGAGAGTCTTGGCAAGAAGGCAAAGCGTTTCTTGGGCCGCATCGTAGCACGCAACAGCCGCAAGATGGCCTTTCGTGCCAAGTCCAAGTCCTGCCACGATCTCTCTGTGCTCTAGACTCCACAGGCACATACTGTGTTGTGCATACAAATGGGCAGATTGGTGGGCTGGCCCAGCCACCTGCCCTGGGTGCCTCAGGGCTGGCTCGGACTCTGGGCATACCCCACCTCATGGTTATGGACAGATAGACAGTGCTGCCCGGGCAGCTCCCAGTGGCCATCAAGGGCTGGGCCCACAGCGATGCATGTACAGGCCAGTGTGTGTCCCAAGCAGCGGCCCGAGCCCAGCCCGTGGGGCAGGCCTGTGTGTGGGGACAGGACTCTAGCTTTCTCCACACTTGGGGTGTGCATGCTCTGGAGGGAGGCTGTTCAGTGCAGTGGTTATTTGTTTACATGCAAATTTTTGTAATAAAGACTATTTCCTGATAGATCAGGGCTGTTGACTTTGTGTTTCCTCCCGATACGGGGCCGTAAGAGCAGGAAGGGTTCCTGAGGTTGAGAGATGGGGCCTCACTGCCCTACCCTAGTGTGCAGCCTTAACTGTCCTAATATTTGGGCTCTGATCTAGCCAGATGGACCAGAGGGGCAGGTGTGGGTTGTGGCCTGATTGGAGAGCCAAGCAGCAGGAGGAGACAAAAGCCCCTCCCAGATTTTTCTCTTGCACTGGGGCCTGGCATTGCCCAGCTGATTAAGGGTTCAGCCACCCCACTGTATGTAAGGAAAACTGAGTCTGTCTGAGGGACCATGGCCTGCCCCAGATCTCATGGCTAAAAAAAACACTGGGTCTGACTTCTGGGCTGGTGTCTCCATCCTGCCTCCTCCTGAGGGGCTGGAAAGTTGCTGAGGTGGGGTAACTGTGGAAGACTTCTGAGACTCCCTGGCTGGGAAAGGAGAAGGCCAGTGTCTGGGGCTGGGCTACGAAGCAAGGGCCTCACTGTTTTCTCCTCTGGGGGCGGGGGGGGCCGGGCCAGAGCCTCCCATGCTCAGCATTGGCTAACATGGTCTTGGCGGGAACCCCTCCCCGGAGCCCTCCCTGCCTAGAATGAGAGGCTTTGTATTTGTGTGGGAATGTGTGTATGTTTGCTGATAGCTGGGGGTGTGCCTGTCTCCCCGCCACCCACACCAGGCACAGGTGACTGCTGGGACTTGCCCTACGGTGTTTGGGGAAGGAGTATCTACATTTGGCAGTGGCAGATGGGGAACTGAAGCAGTTGAGGTCACACAGGTAGAAGTGGCTGAGTAGGGACTGGTATATAAGTCTGCCGGTCTCCAGAGCCTGAAGGCAGCCTATGGCGAGGCCTAGGACAGTTTCTGAGAAGGTTCTGGGCAAGGGTCCATACATTTCCTTCATTGGTTCGATTCCTTTATTCTACAGGCCCCTAGGAGCTCTTGCAACCTGGTTAGAACACTGATTGCAGTTGTTCAATGGCAGAAGGTGTCAGGGCCACTCCTGAATGTGCAGGACCTGTCTTGACTCACCCACATGCCCCCCAGGGCAGTGTTAACTGCTCAAAGCTGCTGCCGCTCCCCGCTCCCACCCTGCAACATACTTAGAGGCATGTGGAAGGCATGGTTTTTTCAGAGCAGGTGAACATCCTGAGGCCTGAAGAAGAATCCAGGCCTTCCTGGCCCTGCTACTTATTGGCTGTGTGACCCTGGGCAAGCCACTCAGCATCTCTGTGCCCTAGTATGCGACATGGGGACAGTGCCCCTTCCAAGTGGAGTTGGGGGAATACTGAAGGCATGTGCTTAGAGCAGTGCCAGGTGCACAGTAGGAGCTCAACACATGGGAGATCCCTTCAACAACCCCACAGTGCCCTGCTCCAGACTGGGGTGCCTGGGGTGCCTGAGTGACCCTGAGGCAGGCGCTGTGCTTGTGGCAGACGAGGCTGGAGGCGGGTGAGGGGTCCCCGCCCATCCTCCAGACATGCGGTGAGAAGGACTCAGGGAAGACCATGGGAAACTCCGAGGACAAGGATGGACTGGCAACAGGATCCCTGACCCTTCCCCCACACACCCCTGGTCGTGGACTCCCAGGCACCAGAAGCTTCTCCTGGCTCCACTTGGCTGCCCTCGGTGGGGGAGGGGTCTCTGGCAAGCCCTGTGATTCCCTCAAGGTCACTTGAGCTGGCTCAATCTGCTCTTCCCTCTCAGAGGCACGGGACAGTCCGTTGTCCCAGCCCTTTCCATGTCAGCAGCCAGTGTGAGCCCTCAGGGAGCCTCAGGGGATCTCACGGGCTTCTGTGCCCCTACCCACTGGTCCCACTGGTGGGTGGTCTGGAGCCACAAATACCCAGTTCAGGTCATGCTCATTTATCCTTCTTGTGCAACCTCTAGCTCCTTGTTTTTGATCCAGTGAGAAGCTGCCATGGCCAAGCGAGGGCAAGTTCATGACTGGGTCCCTGAGACCTGCCCTGGAGGGGTCCCAGTCTGATGGAAGAGATAGACAGTGACAATCTGGTGTCTTTTCTGCTTTGGTAGAAGTATAGCACATGGCATGGCGGAGAGGGTATTCCCAGAAAAGAATCCTGAACAAGCCTGGGAGCCCAGGGAAGGTTTCCTGGAGAAAAGAATCTTTGAGCTGAGTACTGAAGTCTGAGTAGGTGCTCACCAGACAGATGAAGGGAGGGAAGGGCATTCCAGACAAAAGGAACAGAGTGGACCAAGGTAGAGCTGCAGATGCTGGTGCATGGGGGAGAAGTGGGATCGAGTCTGGAACCACAGAAAAAGAAGTAATGTCCAAGCCCAGAGGCCCAAGAAGTCCCCACTGGGCTGTATAGGAACGGGAGAAGCGCCAGGCCAATGATCTCCCCACCTCCCGGGGCTGGCAGTCACGGATGCTGAGCAGCCCCCAGCTTTCCAAAGTCAATGAGTAACTTGGGGGGCTGGGCAGGGCCAGGCCTGCTGCTGTAGGCCCAGCGGTGTTTTCCACTCCTGAGCAAGCATGGCTGGACCGCCTACCTGCTCAAGTGTCCGCCCTGCCCTACCCCACCCATCCCGGCCTGGCCAGCGCTCCCTGGAGAAAGAACCCTGTCTCCAGGCAGCTGGACCAAGGGAGCCCGCCTTAGGCACCGGAGGGTGAGGGCCCTGGAGTGGAGGGGTGAGCAGGGCTGAGGCTGGGGTTGGTGGTAGGGGAAGGAAAAACATTGGCCTGTCCAGCCCTTGCTCAGGGAAGAATTCCCAGGAGTGGCTGGAGTGGTCGTCCATGCTCTGCATGCCCAGCTCCATGCTGAGGGCTGGCAAATCCCAAGAGGAGGGCAGGGTTCCCGAGGGGACTCCGTGTCTGAAGGATGGCAGTGGGTGGAAAAACAGGGCCCAAGACCCTGAACCATGGGTCCTCTGTTCCAGGAGGAATTGCCCTATGGTCAAGTCCTGTGTGACCTTGGTCAGGCCTTGCCCTTCAGGCTTTGCCTACAACATGAGGCAGCTGCAGGAAGTGACCCTCAGGGTCATCAGGGTCTTTCCAGCTTCAGACTTTTGTGATATTTGGGGCTGCTGGGCAATTACCACTTTGGGATCTCTGTACAAGCTGGGGAGGCTATGTCAGGAAGGAGCCAAAGGTGTGGAGGTGAAACTCCCATGGAGATCCTTGTGGTGGCAAGAACCAGAGGCAGGATGGCTCGGCCTGGGGGCCTGGGTGGGCCTGCTTGAGGAGCTGGATGCCCTTCAACCCTGCAGGAGGTGGGGAGTCACAGGCTCCTCTAAGGGGAGAAAGAGGAGGCCAGTCTGTCGTGAGGTCCCTCTGGCTACTGGTACGGAATAGGCCGAGGCGGGGGACAAGGGTGGGAGTGGGTGGAGGGCAATGTCCGAGTGGGTGGGATGGGGAGGGGCAGCTCTGAGAGTAGAGAAGGACAGGGGACAGGAGGAGGCTTGGCTGCCTTTCCCATAGGGACAGGTAGCAGAAGTCCAACTGAAGAAGGCACAGTTGCACCCTGTGGGACCTGGGGAAGCCGTGGCTTGGGCTGAGTGGGGATGAAGGGAGGGATACTCTCTAGGAGGAGAGTAGTGGGAGGGAAGCCCCGCCCGCTGATCTGGCTGGATCCTTCCTGCCATGTCCCTCAGGCCCATCCTGACCATGGTCCCTGTGCGGCTGTTGCTGTTTGGCCTCTCTGTAGCCCAGGTGAGCTGGGCCCTGCTCATCCCCTTCGGATCCCGGCCTTGGGGGTTGGCGCCCCTCTCTCCCATTCCACCTGGACCCCAGCCGCACTGACCATGGAAGGGACTAGCTCTGGGAGGGTGTACAGAGCTGGCTATAGACCTCTTGTGGGATGAGGAGGTCAAAGACCAGAGGGTGGATGGGCTAAGGTATGGTCAGGCCTATGGAAGGGGCAGAAATTCCCCATCCTGGTCGGGCACCCATGACAAGAAGGCAAAGCCTGGAGACAAGGTGAGAGTCCTCCCCCCAGGTTTTCCCCAAGGTCCAGCCTGCAGAACTGTATGTGGAAGTCCCGGAAAACTATGGTGGAAATTTCCCCTTGTACCTGATCAAGGTGAGCCTAAGAGCTGGGTGGGCTGCCCTCCCCCCAGGTCCCACTTCCCCCACCTCCAGCATTTCTCTCTCTTTCTTGCTCTGCCTTTCTTTCAATCCTGCTTCCTGGACAGTATGTGATATAGTGTGAGTGACTAACAAAATTTCAATTCCAGAAGAAAGTAGAGTTTTAATAAATTATTGGTGGTGGGGTTTTGGGCTTTAGAAAGGAGGGCGGGGAGTACTGGGGAGCATCAAGTACAGGGGAAAGAGCTCTGGCTTTGAATGTTGGTTCTCTGATTTACTGGCTGTGTGACTTCAGGCAAGTGCTAGCCCTCTCTGAGCCTCAGTCTCCCCACATATAAAATGGGACCATTGGGTGGAGGGGCATCCCCCAGGCATAGCTCCCACTGCCTTTACCTCTGCTCTCCCTCACAGCTGCCACTGCCCTCTGAGGAGACTGAGGGCGAGATTGTGCTGTCAGGGACCCCAAGTGTGGCAGCTGAGGGCCCCTTTGCTGTGGATCCAGAGTCTGGCTTCTTGCTGGTGACCAGAGCCCTGGACCGAGAGGAACAAGCGGAGTACCGGCTACAGGTATGACTGGGCACAATGTCGGGGAGAAAGGTGAAGGCGGGCCAGGGTGCTGACGAGCCTTCCCTGCCAGGTCACCCTGGAGACCGAGGATGCACGGGTCTTGTGGGGCCCGCAGCCTGTGCTTGTGCGTGTGAAGGATGAGAATGACCACGTGCCCCACTTCTCTCAGTCCATCTACAGAGTTCAGCTGAGCCAGGGCACCCGGCCCGGTGAGTGCCTAGGGCCACCAGCGAGCAACAGGTCAGGTGGGCCCTGAGCAGAGAACAGAGAGTAAAGAGATGGCTGACCGTCGGCATAAGGACAGGGCAGCCAGGGTCCAAGCTGCCCCCTCCCATTTCTGTCCCATCTTGGTCCCCCCACCCCACTGAGAGTCCTCCAGTCCCATCCACTCTTGGCCTCAGTTTGCTCCCCTGCAAACTGAGTACTGAGTCCCCTCAGCACTCCCTGCCCTCCTTTCTAATCTGTGGCTCCCCTCCAGCGTCCCGATATGATGACAGATACGGAAGGAAGTACCAGGGAGAGTTGGGGGAGGCATGGGAAACTCTCCCCACCCCCTGCACCCCTTAAAGTTTGCCCTCTCCACACACGCCAGGCATCCCCTTCCTATTCCTTGAGGCTTTGGACGAGGATGAGCCAGGCACAGCCAATTCAGATCTCCGATTCTACATCCTGAACCAGGCCCCAGCCCAGCCTTCCCCAGACATGTTCCAGCTGGAGCCTCGGCTGGGGGCTCTGGCCCTCAGCCCTGAGGGTGAGCCTAAGCTGGGTGTGATGAGGGGAGAGGGTCAGGGAAAGCTGGGGAAGGCGGCATGTGAACTGTAATGGTAGGACGGGTTGGAGCTTGAGAGATGAAGGAGAAAGAGTATTCTAGGTGGAGAGTGGCAAGGCAAAAAGCTTGAACCATTCACGGAGAGAAAAAATGGTATGAACGGAATAGCCTCAGCCCTATACCCTGGACACCCAAGCCTAAGGGGCAAGGACAGGAGACACCTGAGGGGTTGTAGCCTAGGATGTTGCTGGGAGACCTTTGCCCTGATTGTAAGGGAGAACTGGACCTGGGAGTTCAGACCAGAGGCGCAGGATGGGGATGCAAAGCAAAGCTAACCATACACCTACCAGCCAGTCACCCGTTCGCCCATCTACCACCCAACCCCATACACAGCCCATCTATTCAAATACCTACGCAAACTAACCCATCCACACACCCAACTCCCCATCCATTTACCTCGTCAACCATCCATTCATCCAGCTGGTCATCTCCTCATCTCCCCATCCCCCCGTGGACCCCTCCCCTCAACCTCGTCATCCAGTCCGTCACCCATTCATTGTGTGGATAGATATAGAAATGACTTTGCAAACTTTCAAGTCCTGCTTGGGCGCTCACTCTGGTGCTAAAAACACTTCTTGCTCTTGGGCCCAGAGGGCATCCTAAACACCGGCCATATGCTTGGCTTTGTGTTTGTTGCCTCTCTGAGAAGGATGCCCTGGACTTCTGCTCAGCTGACCACCCTGCCCCTTCTAGGAAGCATCAGCCTAGACCAGGCTGCGGAAGGGCTCTACCAGCTGTTGGTACAGGTCAAGGACATGGGTGACCAGGCTTCGGGCCACCAGGCCACAGCCACTGTAGACGTCTCCATAGTAGAGAACACCTGGGTGCCCCTAGATCCTGTCCAGCTGGCAGAGAATCTCAAAGTTCCATACCCACACCACATGGCCCAGGTAAGTGAGTGGCTGTCAGTGGCTGAAGTAGCCCCGTGGCTGGTACAGCTGGGCCCGAGTCTCAAGATTTGGGGGGGTGGGTCTGAGGCCCAGCTTGACCCCTGCTCCTCCCCTACCTATGTTCCTCCCTCTACTGTCCCCATCAGTTCCCATCATGGAGTACGGTGTCCAAGGCCCTGGGACCAGGCCCACAGCCCCTCACCTGCTCTCCTCTGGCCAGCGTGGCTCTGGGCCCTGACCTGCCCCTGCCCCAGGCTTCCCTAGGGAGAACAGCTGCCACCTCCCTGCTGCCATGGGGATTGTCACCCGGGCTTGGAATGTCTCAGACCTCCTCGAGGAATGCCCTGGGGGCAGGCCCAGCCCAAGAGGGCAGAGAATAACACAACCTGGTCATTCAGGCACTTTGGCCAGGGACCAGGCTTGGACCAGGGCCACCAGGGACTTGCTACAACAACAAGTGTCCCAAACCAAAGGACCCTACCTGGGCCCCAGGGAGGAGAGCAACTTGCCTGAGGTCCCACAGCAGCAGGGACCCAGGCTCCCCACCCAGGAAGAGATGAGGCAGAAGAGCTGACACGGGCTACTCCTGGCCCTCATCCCGGGGTGCCCTCATTCTGTGTCCCACTGCCAGGTACGCTGGAGTGGGGGAGATATACATTATCACCTGGAGAGCCAGCCCCCTGGACCCTTTGATGTGGATGCAGAGGGGAAACTCTACGTGACCCAGGAGCTGGACCGAGAAGCTCAGGCTGAGGTGAGGTGAGGGGGAAGCCAGGAGGGCAGGCTGAGGGGTGCCTGGTCACGGTCCGGTTGGCTTCTGGGGGTGTCACATCCCCCACAGGCACTGAGGCAGTGGAAGAGCACCCAGAAGAGCTGGAGCTGGCCACCAGAAGGGAACGCAGACCCGGGCCAGGCTGGAACTACCCTTGGCCTTCATCTGAAGCCCCCCACTGCCCACTTCAGTACCTGCTCCAGGTGCAGGCTTGGAATACCCGCGGTGAGGACTACACAGAACCTCTGGAGCTGCGTGTGGTAGTGATGGATGAGAACGACAATGCGCCTGTCTGCCCCCTACATGACTCCCCAGTCAGCATTCCTGAGCTCAGCCCCCCAGGTGGGCTATGGGCCTTGTTAGGGGATGTGGGAGGGTTGAAGTCCTTATGACCCATCCCATTTTGCTCTTCTCTGAGCTGGGCCCCTCCTTCACAAGAGCTCAGGTTCGGTCTGGCACAAAAGAGGAATGGGTGTGGTGAGGCCTCCAGACTGGGCTGTGGTCCCACGGTGCTGTCTTCACAGGCACCGAGGTGACTAGGCTGTTGGCAGAGGACATGGATGCCCCTGGTTCTCCCAATTCGCACATTGTGTATCAGCTGTTGAGCCCTGAGCCTGAGGAGGGAGCAGACGGAAGAGCGTTTGAGCTGGACTTCACCTCAGGCAGTGTGACACTGGGGGATGCCCCACTCCGAGCTGGCCAGAACATCCTGCTTCAGGTGATGGCTGCTGACCGAGGAGGAGCTGAGGGCGGTAAGTGCCCGGTGGTGACCCAGGCTCTCTCTCTGTTCCTTTCCTGGTCTCTCCAACACGCCCTCTCCTGCCTCAGGCCTCAGCAGCACATGTGAGGTCGCTGTCACAATCACAGACATCAATGACCATGCCCCCGAGTTCATCGTCTCCCAGGTAAGCAGGAACAGGGGAGGAGATCTTGGGAAGGCACTGATGAGGGGCTCATGGCCTGTCCCCATCTCTCCAGATTGAGCCTGTAAGCCTCCCTGAGAACGCAGAGCCAGGGACTCTGGTGGCCACGCTCATGGCCACTGATGCTGACCTTGAGCCTGCCTTCCGCCTCATGGACTTTGCCATTGAGGCGGGGGATGTGGAGGGGACCTTTGGCCTGGATTGGGAACCAGACTCCAGTCATGTCCAACTCCGACTCCTCAAGGTAAGGGGCTGGGGAAGGGGCACACATATACCCACGTGCATGCACTAGGGTGCCATCCCCTGGCCCAAAGAGTGACCCAGACCCCATTGGTTCTAGAACCTCAGCTATGAGGCAGCTTCAAGCCACAAGCTGGTGGTAGTGGTTCGGAGCGTGACAGAATTGGTGGGGCCAGGCCCAGGCCCTGGAGCCACAGCCACAGTGACTGTGTTGGTGGAAAAGCTGGTGCCACCCCCCAAGTTGGACCAGGAGAGCTACGAGGCCAGCATTCCAGTCAGCACCCCAGCTGGCTCCCTGCTGCTGACCGTCCAACCCTCAGACCCCGGAAGCAGTCCCCTCAGGTGAGCCAGAAGCCCACAAGCTGGGCTGGACCTCCTCTGCTCCCCAGGGATGACCCCCAGGGCCTCAGAGGGGACTCACATTATCTATGTTCTGGCATGTTCCTCAAACCATGGCTAATGCTAAGGCTGTGACTCCTGGGGCTGGGTCAGAGCTAGATGAGTTGGATAGGGCATGGAGAGGAGAGTTAGGACTCCATGCAAGCTCCGATGCTGCCTCCCATGCTGTCCTGATGGGCCCTCCCCCATCCCTCACCCAGACTGCAGCACAAGGGCTCTTCCCTGGCCCCATCCTGTCCCTTTATGGGGTGACCTGAGACTAGTGGAGTTGAGTCAGGCCCCCCAGGCTCTGATAGCTCCCCCCCCCAGTATCTGTGATTCAAGCCCTATCCCTCAACAAGTCCCTAAAGCTGGGGAGAGAAACTGGGCACCCTGAGTCACAGAGAGGATGTGGAACTTAAGCAGGTCACATGGCCCTGGGGGGGGGTCTCTGAGTAAGACCCCATATATGGTCCCAGTGCCTCCCTGCCCCCCTGTCTTCTTTGGGCCTCAGGTTCTCCCTGGTCAATGACTCAGAGGGCTGGCTCTGCATTAAGGAGGTCTCTGGGGAGGTGCACACAGCCCGGCCCCTGCAAGGCGCCCAGCCTGGGGACATGTACAGAGTGCTCGTGGAGGCCCAGTATGAAGGTATGGCCGGGCAGTGGTGGGGCCTCTGGGAGGGAGGGTAAGCCTCGGGCAGACAGAGACATGGGCAGGGCTGAGCTTCCTTCCCGGGGTCCTTCCTGGCATCCACTCTGCCCCAGGCAGGAAGGAGGGATGAGGACCGGGGCCAATGTCGGTGTCTGGGATGCTTGGCGTCTGTTTCCCCTCTCAGTCCACGCTCCTCACTGGACACTTACAATCCTCCAGCCCTGCCCCTTGGCCCTGGAGGGCCTCTCAGGTGTTGGCTTCAGACATAGGCTAGGAGCAGAGGCTGTGGGGCCAGGCAGGTGGAAGGAGTACCTGGGGCTGTGTCTATGGCAGGCGAGGCAGGACGTGAGCCTGAGTGGGACACTGAAGCCAGGTGTGGAGGGCTCTGAATGCCACATTGACCGAATGAAAAGCTGGCCCCGGGGTGGGTATGTCAGGGAGGCGGGTCTCAGCTCTGGGCTGGCCTGTCCTGTGGTGCACGACAGACCCAGCAGAAGTGAGCACCCCCAAATTAGGGCATCTCCACATTGTTGGGCCCTGATACCAGTGGGTGGGGAGGGGGTGGGGCACTGAGGGCAAGCCTGGAGTCCAGAAAGGCACAGAAAGTCCTGGCAGCTGCTTGGATAGTGAAGGGGGCAAGTGCACTGTGAGCAAGAGACAGGTGCGAGGATGCTGCTGGGGATGGGGAGGAGGGGTGGGGTAGAGCAGGTGTGGCAGAGATTCCGCAGGGCGAGATCTCCGGGCCTGGGGCTAGCTCAGCACTGCCTCTGCAGATGAGCCGACACTGAGCACCTCTGCAACCCTCGTGATCTACTTTCTGAAGGCCCCGGCTGCTTGGGCCCCCACCCTGCACCCCGTACCCGCCCGACACCTCTGCACACCCCGCCAGGACCATGGCGTGGTTATCAGTGGACCCGGCGAGGACCCTGGCCTGGCTGGGGGGCATGGCCCCTACAGCTTTGCCCTGGGCCCCAACCCTACAGTACAGCGGGATTGGCACCTCCAGGCTCTCAACGGTGTGTGGTGGGGAAATGCGGGACACCGTGGCCAAGGCGGGAGGCGGTGGGGCTCTTGGAAATGAGATGGGGTTGGGCCTCGGGTCTGTCCACGCTAGGGGCTCTGGTCACTGCTCACGGTCCCACAGGTTCCCATGCCTACCTCACCCTGGCCCTGCATTGGGTGGAGCCACGTGAGCACGCAGTGCCCGTAGTCGTCAGCCACAATGCCCGGACGTGGCAGCTCTGGATCCGAGGTAAGGCCAGGGCCCTGTGTGCCTGCAGTTCCCCAGGGAGCCGTTGCCATGCAGGAGGAGGGACTGGGTACACGCGCCTGCAGGTTCATGGGGGCTACAAATGCGCGTGCGTGCCTGCACGTGTGTGGCCAGGCACACAGATGCCTGCACACAGAGGCGCGCACAGAAAGGAGTACTGCGTACACATAAATACACATGTGTGCCCCAAAGTGTGTATTAGCTGGCTGCGCTGGAGCCTCCCAGCAGCTCGAGAGCCCTCCCCCACCGCCTGTACCTTCCTCCCTTGTCCCCTGTCCCCACAGTGATTGTGTGTCGCTGCAACGTGGAGGGGCAGTGCATGCGCAAGGTGGGCCGCATGAAGGGCATGCCCACGAAGCTGTCGGCAGTGGGCATCCTCGTGGGCACCTTGATGGCAATAGGTAATGGATGCTGGGCTCTTGAGCGGGAGAGGGTGATGGATGGTTGGAGTGATAGCCTGCAGGTGCACAGTGCCCTACCCGACTGTGGTCCCCAGGGCTGGAGAAGGAGCCCCACAACCCTCCTAGTCATCATGCTCCTGCTTCGTACTTTCCTACTCGTCATTGTGATCACTGATGACAGTATTTACTGTTCCATTATTATACGTTGACTGTATAATATAGGACTGTTACATTGAATCCTCCCCACAACCCTGGGAGGTAGATTGTGGAATCTCCCCATTTTCCAGATGATGTCCCTGAGGCTCAGAGAGGTTAAGTGACTTGTCTAAGGTCACACAGCCAGAATGTGGCAGAGCCCAGGTCTTTCCAGCCTAATCCCTTTAGTCCAAGCCTCCCTCTTTATCCCCTTGATTTCTTTGGCCCTCTAGATTTTTCCCTGGCTGTTTTTGTTTGTTTGTTTGTTAGTTCTAGCACAATGCTACCATGTGCCTTTTTGTCAGAGTCCATGGGAATAGCTCGCTGTTTCCCAGATGACTAGCATTGAACCGTTCCCCAGAGAAGGGGGCTTTGGAGGCTGGGGTGTTCTGGACAGCTGCAGGCCAGACAGTCAGGCTTCTTCTGGCCCCAGGACCACAGTCATACTCACCCAGCGTTGTGGATGCTGTCTAGGAAACCTTGCTTCCTTATTAAATCAATACCAATAGCAGGGTGGTGGACAAGTCCCATGGCTCCTTCTGAGAGCTGATCCATCCCTCTTGGGCCCCTCAGGCATCTTCCTTATCCTCATCTTCACTCACTTGACCCTGGCGAGGAAGAAGGACCTAGATCAGCCAGTGGACAGCGTGCCCCTGAAGGCAGCGGTTTGAATGGTCCAGGCAGCCCCAACTGGGAGCTTGGCCTCTACCTCCATCTGAGTCCCCCGGGAGAGGGCCCAGCGCTGCCGATCACCGGGAGCTAGGACAGAGTAGGAGCCCCTTGACCTGCCCTCGGGTGGAATCAACAGCACCAGACAAGTCTGTAGAGCCGGAACACTGACTTTATGGGCTGCGCATGGGAGTGCTCCAAATGGGGCCACGTTTGTCCACTAATAAAGCCTCAGAGAGCAGGGCGTGGGCTGTGCCTGCATCTCAGTCCCGTGCGTATGCGCATTACCCATGTCATCCTTCATTCCTTTCCCGTCTCCTGCTGTGCAGAAAGGGCCTAGGGACTTGAGGGACAAGCCTGGGTCCCCTATGAGGAGGGACATGGGGGCATCATGTCGGTTCTTGGTGAGAACTTGAGGTCGGAGCAGGGTGGGTGATTTCTATGGGCATTTGGAGACCATGGCTGCAGACCCTGGATGGGTCCACTCTGACTAGGTGATGATTGAGGAGGGTGTCCTTTGGAGTGCATTCTGTTTTCCAGGACATTTTTGCTAGGGGAGGGCACCTGTGAGTCTATGTCCTGTGCTTACGTATGCGCCACTGCTGTATCTGTGAGTCACCTGCACATGGGTGAGCAGAGGTCCCATAGTCTTAAGAGGGGTCTGCACAGGAATCATGAGGGTCTAATAGGGCTGGAACAGGAGAGGTGAGGTTGGGGATGGGTCCCTTTGCCCTAGCATAGGCCCTAGCACACCTCCGGGTTTCATATACAGGATGGTGAGTGCGTGGGGGGTGGGGTCTACAGAAAGTCAGAGAAGGGGAATCACTCAGACAGGAATCCCCATGGCTCACCCTGGAGCTGCCCCTGCCCCAAGTGAACCCCTTCCCCTGACCCAAGATTAAGCCACGGCCCTGGTGCCCTGCTGAGCCCTGACCACACCTCCAGGCCGACCTCTAATCCCTGACCCTTGACTGACCCAGACACATGCTGATCCTCCATGCACCTATCCCAACCGTCTCTGGGGAGCCAGGGTGGGACTTGCTGTCCCAGGCACCTTGAGCTGCTGATGGTAAATCACGGGGAAGGGAGAAAAACAACCTCTGTGGGGCCCAGGCCCTATTTTTAGGAGATAATCTCTCTGCTCCTGGCAGATTCTGTGGGATGGGGGCCAAGCTCAACCAAGAGAGATGGGGTGGGCATCCTGGCTGGCCTGAAGAGTCTGAGAGGCTCACAGAGGATCCCCAGCCTCGGGCTGAACTCTGAGGCCAGTCCTGCCATCCTGGGCCCAGCGCGCGCACACACACACACACACGCACACACACGCACACACACACACACACGCACACACCCTCTCCCAGGATCCTCTACTCAGCCTGCATCCACTTTGAAATCTCCAGGGTGCAAAGCTCTTCAAAGGTGGCATCTCATCTAATCTTCCCACCAACCTGTGAAGGCAGGATTATTGGCCCCGTTTGCCAGTGGAGTTTCTTGAAATTCAGAGAGGTTAAGGGCTGCAGCTGAGAGTCTTAGAAGCAGACAAGGTGGGACTGTCTGGCCAAAGTTAGAATTACTTCTCCCCAAGTGTCCACAGCCTTCAGCGGCCTCGGTTCCCATGAGATCCCTGAGAAGGGCCTTAGATCATCAGGCCAGCTCCTTCTTGTAAAATTGGGAAAGTGAATCACGAAGAGGTGAAGGGAACTTCCCAAGTCCAGCCAGCCAGCTGGTGGGATGTAGCACCTGAGCTGGGACCCTGGCATCACCCCACTCTCTGGGTCTTTATTCTGGATGGATGGATGGATAGGTAGATGGGTAGGTGGGTGGATGAGTGAATGAGTGGATGGGAGGGCAGGTTGGTGGATTGTAAATGGGTAAATGGGTGGATGGGTGGATGGGTTGGTAAGCAGGTCGGTGGGGTACCAACAAAGGAAAGAGTGGATGATGACAGGGCAAATTAAGGCACCTGCCCCAGTTTAAGGGCTTTTTGTCTTTGGCCTCCAGGCCCCAGGCCCCAGGCCACCCTCTGATGGTGTCAGTTCTGGCGCTGACCCTAAGGTACATAATCCCCAGGGACACAGGCTCACTTTCCCAGAGAGTCTGTAGACATAAGCCTCCCCATGATCCACAGCCTATTCTATAGAGGAAAGTGAAGGTCAGAGAGGGGGCATGGCTCCTCCTGCGTCCCAGAGGGAGAGAAACACAGAGACAGCACTGGTTTGTGGACCTGGCCATGGCTAAGTGAGTGCTAGTAGAGATTACACTAAGGAGGCAGGCCTCATTCTGCAGGCAGGGCCTAGCTGCTAAGGCAAGGTGAGGAATAACTAGTGGCTCAGTGTGGATCCATGCTCTGCCTCATCTTTGCTGTGTGTTCCCAGATGAATCACTTCACCTCTCTGAGTCTTGGTTTACTTGTTAATAAAATGGGCCTCACTAAAGTGGAGTTGTTGAGAGGACTACATGAGATGATCCCCACAAAATGTGTTTAGCACAGCTCTGGGCACACAGCAGGAGTTGAGTACACGTGGCTTTCCCGGGTGCACAGACTGTGGGGGTACCCACTGCAGACGCCTATAGCCATCTACTCTCATATTCCCCAGGGGCCCCATGAGGCCCAGGTGTTCGGGAGGGAGTATGAAGAGGAGCCCCAACTCTAGCCCCCACGTGGCCCTGTTGGGTGACCCAGGGCAAGACAGCCCCTCTGGCCTTGGCTCCTTGCCAGCTCTAAAGCTCTCTCTGGGGGGTTGTTGAGGGGTCTCACAGGGTTCAGACTGGTCTGGAGCATCAGGGAGTCACAGGGTCTGCCCCAGTGGGGAGCTCATGCTCACCCCTCCCGGGCCCCTTTCAGAGGCACTGGGCCAGATCAAAGGGACCCAGCACTGAGGATTGGGAGGCGGGCTTGGAAAGAATGTAAACATGGGGATATTTTTAAACTTTTTCCAGCCCCAGAGATTAAGGCTCTTGAAGGGAGAGGCCCAGAGGTCGGTCTGGCCCTCACTCACAAAGAAAGAGTCTGGGGACCTCCATCTCACCCACACCTACCTGTACCCACCCCAGGACTCTAGCTTGGGCCTCAGGGAAGTTCTTCCTCCGATCACACCTCCAGAGGTCCTGCTGCTGGGGGATCACGTGTTTCTAATGAGAGGATCTAAGACATTTGGGAGGACCCAAAGGATTTCAAGGGTTATGGGGGCCTACCTGGCAGGGCTAGTGTTGAGAGACTGAGCTTGTAGACCCCTTGGCCACCCTGTCACTCCATCAGGCACACACACATGCGTGTGTGTGTGTTGTGTGTGTGTGTGTGTGTGTGTTGTGTGTAGGTGTTTGTGGGTGTGTAAGTTCATATTAAAGTCTGGTCTGCATGGTGTCACAGTGTGTGAGTGTGCCAGGAACTCACCCCAGCCCCTCTCTTCCTCCCCTGCCCTAGCATCCCTAGCATCTCTCTCCCCAAGACCACTTGGATCAGTGGGGTTTGGTGGGGAGTGAAGCTGACAGGAGTTAGCTCTAGGGGGAGATGAGGAGGGCAAGGGGGCTGGGAGCAGAGGGCTGAGGAAGCTGGGGGAGGGGCCGGGGCCAGGTCTGAGCCATGCAATGAGTCAGGCTGTGGGAGGTTCAGGGGCCACTGACGTGGTGGTGGGGGCGGGAGAGGGTTGCTTCCCCGCCATATCGCAGTGACTCAGGAACTTGGACACAAAGCTCCCTCCATCTCCCCACTCTGGGTGTCACGGTGACGCTCCCCCTGGGTCCTATGGCAACAGCCGCTTCCCTCTGAGTGATGCCACCACCCTCACACACTCGTGCGACAGAGTGGAGCACCCACAGAAGTGTCACAGGGAGACTCACAGAGGGGACTCAGTCACAACATGCTGCCCTACCTTGTCATCATATCCCAGGGACTCCCACAGCCTTACCCTGTCCACATCCCCGCTGTTTGGGAAGTCAAAGGGTCAGAGTTCGCGGGGGTATGTGATAGCCAGGCCAGGCTGTGGTTACCAGGACAACGAGGGGCTCTAGCCCCAGGAGAGGCCTTGCTGGATGTTTGCCAGGCTTCAGGGGGCCGCTGTGCCATCTCGTCCTGCTTCTCGACCCAGAGAGGGACAAGTGAGCAGCTCCAGGTCACACGGCTCCTCAGTGGAGGGCAGGCTTCAGGACGCCATGCCTTCCAGATCCCATCCGCTGAGGCGGCGGTGGCAGAGGACCAGGCCTGGTGCTGTCTCCTAAGATGCTGCGGGACTTCAGGCCCAGGATGGTGCAGGAGCGGGATGGGGCACGGCTGCCCGCGCAGGGGGCCTGGTACTTGCCTGAAGATGTCGCTGTGTTGTCCCCGTGTGCATGCCCAGTCACAGGGGCTGTTGCTATTCTTACCTACTTAGTGGTGGCCGCAGGGTCAAAGATAGTGGCTGGGTGGGAGGGAGTCATAAGCACCAGTCCCTTATCTGACACCTTCTCTGGAAACTTGGCAGGGGCTGCCAGGCTTTGGGGGCCTGGGTAGGGGGGGCAATGAGATGGTCACATGGTCTGGATGGGGGGGATGGGCTCACGTGGGACAAGGCCTGCGGCAGCTGTCTCTCCCACAGCCAGGCAAGGTCTCATCAGAAGTGGGACTTCGAGTGGGACTTCCTATGCGGTCATTAAGACCCGCAGGTCATCCTCAGCTTCCTACCCAGTCCCAACCATAATACACGACCCCGGAGTTTCTGATGCCCCAGAAGACAATGTGTTGGGTTCCCCGGTGAGGCCGTAGGCGGGGGCTGCCTCTAGGGGGAGAGCACTGTATCGTGAGCTGCAGAAGCCCAGTTGGCCACAGTCCTGCCCACGTCTAGGCTGTGTGACTTTGTGCAAGTTGCTTCCCCTCTCTGAGATTCAGTTTCCTCATCCCTTTCCGAAGCTGTTGTAAGAACGACAAAGTCCAGTAGTTAGGAATTCGGGCCGAGGGCTGTGGATGTGTGTGTGCACGTACGCTAGGGTGGGCCGCCAGGATGGGGGAGAGGGAGGCACACAGGTTCCCCACCCTGGAGACTCCCGCCTCATGGATTTTCCATTGGCACGTCGGCACCCTCTCCCCCAAAATAGGCCCTAAGAGCCGTGCGCGACAGAGCCCAGACTGAGGGGACTTTTTTTAGCAGCCCTTTGATTGTCAGCTCTCAAACGGCCACTATTTCAAGCCCCAACGCCTACAGGAGTAGGGCCAAGTGGGGGCTGCAGTCAGTTCAGTGGGCCTGGCTGGCTCCTGGAAGGCAGCCCCTGGGGGCCAGCCCCGCCCTCTGACACCC